ATATATATTTCTGGTAATTCTTTATTATTGATTTCAGGCAACCTTGTACCTGTGGTTACCTACTGCCACAGCTTTTTCTTTAGCTAAGTATATCTTAGCTTACGTTGGTTGAGATAATGGCAATCCTCTGCAATATTCGTAAACCTTGTAAAGTTTTGTCAATTTAGTTTTCAAAAGATTTGTAATGTAAAACTGGAAGATGAATGAGGTGAAGACAGAGCTGGCCGTGCCAACGTTCCCCGTACCTAAGAAGCGCTGTACACAAATCATGATACCACTCAAGACAACATGAAACAATTATATACACTCTCACACCTAGCGATCACCCACCTACGATTCACTCACATCCCTAGTTTGAAAAATAACTGGAATGAACAAGAACAGTCTATGTTTTTTCTAAAGTTGTTTAATCTGTCTAAAAAGGTGATCTAACTTACAATAAATTGTTGATTTCCTCTAGATGTACTGTTGTGCCACGTCCATCTAATACTGAAGAATGCTATACTAATCCAAGTTAACTTTCCTAAAACGTCATACTGATTTGCTGATGAAGGGTTTGTGTTTGATATACAAATACACAAATCAGTATATTCCAGTCATTACTTGATTTAATGAACCAGTCACAGCCTGAACTAGTCCCAGACTGAACCAGAAACAATCTGAACCAGTAACAGCCTGAACCTGTAACAGCCTGAACTAGTCACAGCCCGAACTAGTCATGGCACGAACCATTCGCAGCCTGAACCAGTCAGACTTAGCCATTTATAGCTCGAACCATTCATGCCGGAACCAGTTACGACCTACGAAAACTACAACTGCACCAGCTACAGCCTGCGACAGTTACAACTGCACCAATCACAATCTGCGACAGCTACAGCCTGCGACAGTTACAACTGCACCAATAACAATCTGCGACAGCTACAACTGAACCAGTCACAGTTTGCGACAGCTACAAGTGAATCAATCACAATCTGCGACAGTTACAACTACACCAGTCACAGCCTGCGACAGTTTCAACTGCACTAGCTACAGCCTGCGACAGTTACAACTGAACCAGTCACAGCCTGCGACAGTTTCTTGGAGTTTGTGCATTACACAATACACCATTCATGACACATGAAATCTTGGCATCTTTGTTTCACTTAACTTTATGTAAAATTTATGAAATTACTTTGCTTCGAGGCAGTGTGTACATGGCGTGGTGGGTGTGTGTTAGGACGAGTGGCAACGGCCCTGCACTTGACTCTCCCTACATTCTCCAAGGACCCTGAATACTCAGACAATGTTATGCCCCTCCCCAGCTCTTCCATCTCAATCTGTTTTCAGTCTTTTCTTTCGGTTTTCCCACTAGACTTTCGACAGTAAAATCTCACCTGAGCACATCGACAAGCCAGTCCGTGACCATCTAAACCCATGATCCATGCCAGAGTGGAGGATGCAAGGCTCGCCAGTTCAGTTGATAACATTCACGGGGGTCTGACCCATCCTCTCAAATTACCGAGCCGGCTTCCACTTCTTCCTGTTTACGCCTCTGTCATAGTAACGATTCTCTGAATTAACTATAGTTTGGACTTTTTTAAAAAGTCTTATCTTGCTTGAGATTATCAATGAGCGTCTTTAGGTTTGTGGGAGCCGCCTCGATTAGCAGGCCCCACGCGAGGAACTTGGCAGCATCACTGTCTTCCTCCCTGGCGCTAGCATGTTTTTAGGGCTGCACTGCCCTCCAGGCTTTAGCTTTCATTACACTCTTTCTGCCATCTAGAGTGACACACGCACCCCTGGCGGTGTCTTGCAAGGGCTCAGTTGTGGACACTCGGCTTCAGGGGGACGTGTGATGAACCAGATGCTGTCCCTCTGTGCCTGCCTGTCTCCTCTGCTCATCCATATCAGTCACTGGATCCAGACCTGTCGACCCATATCATTCTTCTCCTCACTCGGAAGGGCATTGTTTCTAGATACCCCTGGGGTCCCCGCTAGTCTTGTACCTCCCTCACCGTGCCCAGGCCTAGTTCAGCACACCTACACAGTGCCAGCCACAAACACTTAACATCTAGTTCTTGTTACCGCTGCTACAAGTAACCAAGTGTTGCGTAGGTCTTCACAAAAGGTGTATCCACTTTACAGCTTTCCCTGAAAAATAAAAGTTCGTCATTGATGAGTAAAATCATTGCACTATGGACGCTAGATTTAATGATACATTATATTTAATATGACCCAAACGAACTCACTCGGAGAAAATAAGATGAAAAGGAGAGTACTATATATTTTAACATTCCACAAAGTTTTTCCAGAAAACTAAAAAGTGCACAAGTGTGTGTTCGTTTGTTCCATTGACCAGTGTTTATTGTAGTTTTTTGTATATTTTAAAATTTTGTATACTAATATACATCTAATTAAACACAAATATATTTGTGATATTAATATAAACTTGAATTATTATGACTCAGCCAAGGCAAACACAACATCAAGAAAACACGAGAAGAAAATACTGTACGTACTA